TACACGCACGTATGCACGCATAATAAACATAATTTGAGAATTTAACTTCGCAATTTTTGCTCTCTCTCACGCACAGTGTGTGTGTGCTGCGCGCGCGCGCGCACAGAGAAGCAAGTAAAGTAATGAAAATAACAGTTTATCTTCTTCAATGTGTCACAACATTGCTTTCTCATTATTTTTATCTCTCCTTCCATTCTTTCTTCAGCGTTTATTACAATATGAATCGCTTGAAGAAATTCTTTTAATTATTCGCGAATATGAATACAAATTCGATGGATTTACCCGCGTTTATTCATATCTTCTACATTCACATTAAGCTGCATATATAAGTGTAGTAAGAATGCATGTAATCTGGTCTGACCACAAGAATCAAAATAAGCCTAAAAAAAAGACTTAGCAATAATCATGTAATTTATGTGTTGTGTGCGCGCATGTATTATACGAGGGTTAGTTTAAAAGTAAGTTTCTTTATTTTAGGAAAAACAGAAAGACAAAGAGTTTAAAAACCTGAAAAATTTTATTTTAACTTATTACATTTTGGTTATTTTTGTTATAAATTCATCATTTTTTCCTATGCATTTATTGTGACAAAAGAAATTTTTCAGAAAAAATGTTGATTTTTCGAAAAATAATCAAAGTGTGATAAGTTAAAAAAATTTTTTCAGACTTTTTAATCTTTGTTTTTTTCTTTTTTCTAAAATAGGAAAATTTACTTTTGGACTAACCTTTGCATATGTGCGTATGCCATGCGTATGTGAATGTTGTAATAGCCGTATATTTATCGTAGCCATAGAATTTTATATAATCTATAAGAAAGAATATCTGTGTTCTTTCATAATTCTTTCGAATATATGTGTTCTTGTGTTTGAAATCCATATGTTTTTTCTTAAACCTTTACCTACATCTAGGCCAATAGATAGGACAATCAAAACCACAAAAAAGTAACATTGAGACAAAACCACAAACAACAATAATAATTTTAGAATATAAGCACGTCGGCAAAAGTGTATCAATAGTTTGTTTTCATTCTTGGCTATATATACGTCAAAAAAGCCTGTAAATTTCTAGTAAATACGTTTCATACTATTTGTCTTCTTTCTCTTCTCATGGTGAGTCTTTCCGTTAGAAGTAGCATCCGTTGTAAAAGTATTCGCTGACTGCGGTCAGCGAGCGAAACGACTGAATATGTCGTTGTTTTGTCATGTCTGCCGACAGTCTAGACTTACCGAGTCCTCGAGTCCGGCTATTCGACGTCACCGAATAAAACAGACTTTTCGGACAGCGCGAAACGTTCACGAAACATCGTGTTTTGTGACCGGCAAGCAGGTAGACGGATTCGAACTGATCATTTCTACTCTGCAGACTTTTCTAGTCAGTTCTGATTTCATTTTATGCAAGGTTCCATGCACACTCAACGTTTATGCACGGCTGATAGTTGGTACATTGATAGTTGGCAGATACATACATGCGGGTAGAATTTAAACTTGTATTACAAAATGTTCCAAACTTTTTTATTTTTGAA